ATGTTTGATAAAACTCTCGACCAGAACCTTAACAAGATCTACGGACTCAACCCTCAACTTCAAAGACAGTCTGAAAGCAGATATCTAGTTTCCTTTTTCTGTATTCTTTTTCTTCTTTCTTTTTTTTCCTTTTTCCTCTCCTCCTTTTTCTCCTCCCAGCTTTGAATCTGTGATGGATGTGATGGAAGGCTTGCGGTCACTTTTATCCCTATGGCTATGGGCTCCCGGCCGTACGCAGTGGCGTGAAGAAGGGCCCTGATGACCCCGCTGTGCCATATCTATTCCGGTATCGTGTACTCTCAATGCCTTAGACTCAGAAGGATCATCAACTGCCAAGAATGCGTCAAAGAACACCTCGCCAACCTCAAAAAAGCGTGTTACCCTAGGAAAATGATTGAGAACATTAGTAATAAGGTTCTCAATTCAGCAAGATCACTGTTACACTGGAATTTCAGTGAAGCTGAAAGACTGGTTAAGAAGCTGGCCAGTAAGATGGAGTACCACACTGGCCAGAGGTACTCGGATGCTGTAGGATACATTAGAAAGCGCCTTCGCTTTGAAATCCTAAAAACAACAGTGATTTCTCTCCGTGGAGACAGAGGTGCGAGAAAAAACATTGTTGATATTATAAACAGTCTAGATCTTAACTTGGAGCCACAAGGCCAAGGGTAATTTTTGATTGTTTAGCAAACTTTTTTAATTCTTAAAGGGTAGATTTTATATAGGGTCAATTCTATATTATGTGTATATTGTTTGAATAATTTTATATTTTATCAAAAAAGATTTATGTGGTTTCAGTGAAAGTGACACTGTTGAAACATCCCAAGAGACCTCCTCAACAGCTTCCACGCCTAGGAAGAAAATATTCAGTTACACCAAGAAGACAGGGCCAAGCCTAAAATCTTGCCTCGTCAAATTGAAAGAACTTGCTTTAGGAGCTAAACATGGTCCAACCAGCAAATGCCATATGCCAATATGGCCATGGGCTCCCGGCCGTACGCAGTGGCGTGACGAAGGGCCCTGATGACCCTGCTGTGCGGGGGGCGCCATCTTAGGGGGGCGCAAAAGCGTCGTTTGAATGACTTAACTGAGGTACTAGCAAAACTGCGCATTTTGCTCTAGAAACACTTTGTTGGAGATTTTACCAGTTTATCCTCAAAAATCACCTAATTTGTTCAATTTTAGGGAGGAGCGCCAAAAGGGGAGGGGGTGCATTTTTGGTGGGGGGGGGGAGCACCAACACTCCAACAGGCAACATTACGCCACTGGCTGTATGTCCATGTAGGAGCTGTGATAGGGTTACAGTGACTGCTAGTAGAAAAAATATGAAGGTTCCACCAGTAGACATAAGTATCGAAAGCAGGGCATTGACTGGACCTCCGAAGCGGGGTATCCGTGAGGACCCTGGTCGTAATCAGCTCTGCACTATTTCAGTGTATCCAGATGCCTGAAATCTCGGACACTGCCTAGTGCCTATGTACGGGGTAGACAGCCACAGATGATTTTTTCTGTGATTTTTTGCCTCAAACTTTGCCTCCACAGTTCACCGGCTGTCAGACACTGGCTAACTTACCGCACACGGTTTATTTTCTGCGTCTTTACCATAACCGTGTGTACCGTTTTTTGCCGCCCACTCTGCTGTTCTCGCGTTTGCGCTCACCCCCCGCCCCCCCCCCCCCCCCCCCCCGTAATCAACCGTAAGCATTTGGAAACCCCCTCGGCTGATTACGTAATATGTTAACGACCCCTAAGGATTTTGAAAAAGTTTATACTTTAATGTTATGTCAAAATTAGTTTTTGAGCAAAAATGTATAACCGAAATTGCCATATTAGTTGTTCTCATCATAAAATCACATCAGGTAATTATGAATAATGTGCTTGTGCTGCTACAGTAATCCTGAAGATGGCAGCTCCGATGACCCAAAAAGTAAACTTCTGTCGCCAGATCCGCCAGTAAAATCCCAGGCCGAAAACAAAAAATCTAAATCTTCAAAGAAAGAAAAAAAGGTGAAAAAAGAAGATAAGAGCAATAAAGAATGTCAAAAGAAATATTCAACATCCCAAGATTCCAATGTGGTCTCCAGTGTGGAGGAGAAGGCTGCAGAGCCCATTCAAGAAACTGATAAAAGTTTGTTTCCACCTGAATGGAACACCAAGACAGCCAAGTTTGCTGCTAATACCTTCGTGGGCATGGGACTAGCTAAGAGGGATGAAACGTTGAAGAAAACAGATACCAAGGCAGCGGAACTTAACAAAGATACAAGGAATTTTCGTTCATTATCAAGAAAGCTCAAAGACAAACAAGCTGAAAAGTTGAAAAATTCAAAACTTCCTTGGTAAATAAGGTCTTATTTTATTTGAATTGCGTTAATTGTTTGTTAGATGCATCGATAACGTTTGATTGAAGATGCATTATGTCGGAATAATTGTTTGTAATTTAATTTGATAGATATCCTTTAATTTAACTATTTGACTTTCATCTATACTATCCATTTGCTTATTTTGCATAGACCAATCGAGGTTGTCATAGACAGCCCAAGTAACAAATTTAAATTTAAATTATGATATCTATTATCGTCCCATGCTATGGAACAGATTGTTATACACTCATAAATAATAAATATACTAGATACTTCAGTACAGGAAGCTCGTCCGTAGCTACAGGTCTGTGTAACTGTGTAACATTATAATTTGGCCTTTGGGTGCCCAATCAAGAGCTAAATATCTAATGATGCCCTGTACTGTGGGATATTTGTTAAATTATGTACTGCTTTACTTGAGATTATAAACGATCAAACGATGTCTGTGAAATGTAATATCATCATCTTTACACTGTTATATTTGTCAGCCTTTATTAGTGACCCGGTTTTACAAATTTTCTGTAGGCCTTTATTGGTTGGCAAGTGTGAAAACCTGTAACATTGATTTTATAGATCATAATGACCGCCTAATTAGCAAATTTTATTTCACAACTAGAATAACATACGTATGTAGCTGCAGGAAGGTTGCTGTTTTCTACCAATTTGTTGGATAAAATAACCTGAACGGGAAATTATCACAAACTTGAGACATGATGCTTGTATAAAAGTGACACCAATTTGTTTTGTCATAAGGGGTCGTTCACATATTACGTAATCAGCCGAGGGGGAGGGGCCGGGGGGGTTTCGAAATGATTCCGCTAATGTAATTTTGATATAATAACTATGTGTAAAACCGATTACGGAGGGGGGGGGGGGATAAAAATTGTCTAAAAATTTATTACATATGTAAACGACCCCTAAAGAAACCTATAAATGTGTCATCATAGTAATAAATCTCAAATTTGCACATCTGTGCTACCTTAAAAACTAAATAACATTTCATCTCAAGCGATAAGAACCTGATATAGTTGATGCAGCGATCTGATCTGTAGCTTGATGGAATTTTCAGAAAATGAACTTTATTACTCCAAAGAAGAAACAATCTCAGATTCAAATTCTCCTCTGCTCACTTTAAAACGTGAGAGAAGATCGACAGAGGATGCAGAGGGAGATGATCCATCCTCTTCAGGTGAGTAAACTGGTAAATGGTAACTGGTAACTGGTAATTGGTTACTGGTTACTGGTAATTGGTTACTGGTTACTGGTAACTGGTTACCAGTAACTACCTCAACTCCCAATAAACATAGTAATATTTTATTGGCTATTAGTCTATTTTTCTTTGATATTACTGACCAGAGGACTTGTTTTGGGTGTGTTTTCAACATGTTTTGAACTTGAGAACAAGTTAAAAAGATTAAACAGGGCATGTTTTGACGGTGTCCCTACTCCCTGCATACACACACCTATAATTTCTAGCTCTAATTCTTTACTGAGTTCAGTGTTTCTCATTGTTTGCATTAGAGGGTAATGAGTTTAGCACCAAGCTCTACTGAGTTTCTCATTGTTCGCACCGTGTATAAAACTCATAGGCTTAGCGTCCTAATTTACACTTCTTTTCATTACATCCACTTATATTATCATTATTTTTCCAGCATCTTTTGTCTAAATTCCAAGTAGGAAGACGCACACTGACGTCAGCATCTCAACTTCAGTACATTAAATTGTCGTTATAATCACGCCAAACTTTACTAGGCAACCTGCGCCATCTGAATTTTAAGAATATATTGACGATTTGACTAGAGACCCAGTAATGGCCGTAACATCAATGTTACCATTACAACGCTATAGTTTTATATATTTTACCATGTTCATAATTATCAGCCCTGCACACTCGAAAATCATTTTTGAGGCATTAGCCAGAGAGCGTACATAAAACGAGCATGTAATTATCGCGGAGATGTCCTTTAGTCATCAAACCCGTTACCCGCGTATTGCAGATGGTGATTCGTCGTGTGGTTATGATATGTTAAGCTACAAACCCCATTTTTATTTACAACTTTATAATATTATACTGAATGTTAATGCAGAGAAACGAGTCACATACTACGATAGGCTCCTGCTCAGCAATGATAGACAGTGTAATCATGAAACTGGCTACTAGATAGTCTGAGATTTACCAGACTGAGATATACGTAATGTATCACGTTCTACTGTAGGTCGAATAACTATCTAGATACATAGACTGCTGTAAGCTAGTGAGTGCTATTTTAGATTGGGATACCTTGCTCTAATACCCTTGGAACTGAAAATTCCATGATTACGACAGGAATTTCTCAGTAAAACAATATTACATGGTTCTATAACATATAATTTCAGATTTATTGCATATGATGGACCTAGAACTAGAAAACGCAGCGCAACCCGTTTCTTTAAACGATATCAGCTCGGATAGCACTGATAAGGAAAATAACGAGCCGAACAAATCCGCAGATGACAGTACGTTTTACTGATAAGATTTCTTATTCTGTTAGTTTATCAGTTATCTATTTTAAGTGACAACTCAATTTGTTTGTTGAACAGTGTTAGGTTATATACAATATAATTATAAAAGATAAGGTTTTTATCTTCATTTTACTGATCGTGGGAACATTTTAAAAGATATCAAAAACTTGCTAGGCAGTACATTAATACTAAAACAGTTGTTGTTAAGATTACACGATTTACAAAAGAAAAAGTGAGCGAAGAAAAAGTGACGTTTTGTGCAATTTCCGCATAATTATTTACTCTCCGCACCCAAGCCTAATAATATTCATACTCTGTATTTAACAATATAAGCGATTTACACAGATTTAAACCTTATCTCTTTCGACCTTCACAACTCGCATACATGGTGAATTGGCTGAAACAGAACAGAAACGAGATTTATTATGTTCAAGCAAGTCAGGAAAGTCTATGAGTTAAATCACGTGATGCGTCCAGATTATTCCACAGGTTTGAGATGTAGTTTTCCCTTGATACTTGCTCGAGTCCGTTCAAAGTTAGCTGCTTCACCTTCTTCTTGTATGAAATACTCTGAAAAGTTAGCCGCCATTTTAGGATATCATTCACTATGCACTAATTGCATTGTGTAATGTGTCTATTATTACATCACATCATATTCCAAAGCGTCAAACTATTTAAGATTGCCATAAAAAGCCAAAAGCGAAAGTATAAAATTGAAAATGTTTGATTCTCTTGAACTACTGAAATTTTTTTAAATTTTTTTTTTAATTTTTAAAAAAAATAAATATGCAACCTACTAAAACCAATGGAGCCCTCCTCGGGTCATTCCTCTCGCATTTGCGAAAGTCGTCCCGAAGGTGTAAAAGGAGGACAGGATTTGTTCCCGCCAAGCTCTTACATCGCTAATTGTCGACCATCGGCCTTCACTAAAGGTAAGTTTTTTTAGAGTGGAGGCCGACAGTCAGCATGGGATGCAGGGCCAAGCGGGAAACAACGTCAAGGCCCCCTTCCACTTGGGCCATGTTGGTTTTGGCAGATACTGTGGTAATAAAATATGAAGTGAATGAGTGAAATGAAGTGAGTGAAAAGGGTTTAAGAGAGGAGGCTGGAGGAGCCTGTAAGGAATTTAGGAAAGGAAGGAAGCAGGGCATGTACTACAAAAAAACAGCTACTAGTAGTACTACAAGATTGTAACAATAACCGATAAAAATTAAATAACATAGACAGCAATAAAAATGGAGTGGACATATTGCCCTAATCGGCCAAGATCGACACAATAGAACTTTTGTGACCTATTTTATCTCCTGTAAGTGATAGCTTAAGAAGTTTGATATACCCCTGCCAGATCGGCAAGTCTCCTGCCTGAAATTTTTTGCTAATGTACCATTTGGCAACGATATTAAAATAATTTATAATTTGTGAAGTGTGATTACAGATTATAAAATTAATTTTAGTGGGATCTTCGTAATTACTATCGATTTTCCTTTTAATAAAGTCTTCAAGTATTGTGATGAAGCTATTTGTGTGAATACAATGGAGGTAAATGTGAGGAATTGTTTCTAAGTATGTGTTACACAGGCTACACATGGGAGTATCTGTAACAATTTTCATCTTATGTCTCATGTATCTACACGTTGTGATCCTCATTAAGAGTTTGTATTGAAATTGAATCAACTTAAAGTTTTTAGATACTAAGAAAAACAGGTTGCTTAGAACGACTGCCCAATCGATGGAATGGCTGTTCAAGTCAACAACCCATTGACGTAAAGGAGACAGCTCGTTTGGACAAATAGAATCGTACATTTTATCCCGAATTTTGCTTCCCTTCACCTGCCCAGTTGCAGAATGTAAAAATCGAAGTTTTATATTCGGGTCAACAAATTCGATATTCCTTGAGTTAATCGTGGGACAGTTATATCTCCGTATCCCCATGATAATGTTACAGTAATCAATTTTGGAAATCGTATTCGGAGACAGCTCCCACTTGTTCATGAACATATCGTAGTTAAGGACTGTACTTTGATCTATAGAAAGGAAATCTGAGATGTAAAATATTCCCTTATCAATAAGATGATTGTTCCAAAGTTTGGACCCGATGTCAGTTATTGCTGGGTTGGACCACACACAGTGATCAATAGAACCCAAGGCTGCATTAGCCGAACTAATCTTCCACTCAGTGTAGCAATCAAGTACGTCCTGTGTAAAATTACAGTTGATATTTGCGAGACCGTTTTCTACAGAGATGGTGATATGCTCGGGAAATTTCAGTTGCATTATCATAATATCTTTCCAAGTGTGGTGAAAGGAATCATTTAGTAGCTTTGAAATAAGACTAGTTTTAAGACCTATAATAAAATCGGATGAAAATTGAAATACACAATTAAGCACTTACGCCGCTTGAGGAAATTAATCCCGTAATTGATAAGTTGATACTATGGTGTTTACTGTTTATAAACTACTAGTAGTAGTTACAAACCTGGCGGAATACTGGTGGGATTCTCCATTTGCATTTCCAACTCTGTTCTAACTGTACTCTTCGTGGAAAAGCATTTCCACCCTGCAGTTCTACCAATTATATCAACAAAGTAGAGTATGTAAAGAAGTGTAGTTAGGAGGATTAACCAATCGTACACCGAGACTGGTGCTATCCTGGAAATATTCATGAGTTAAGAGATTCAGAAAGTGTTTTTAAAGTGTTACCCGCCAAAACTTCATGAGCGTTTTGGGAGCCGTATATTACACACCAAAGTAACTATCGAGGTAATTTAAGTGTTAAATAATAATGTTCAATTATAATATGGTTAATGGTTGAGAGCTTACCTGTGTTTGTGGAGGTAACTACTGAGAGTCTTGTTGATTTCTGTGATTTGAGTCTTCAGAGAGCTTTCTAAATCTGTCGTCTTCAACTTGTCTAAAAACTGATCTGGTTTGATTCTCATATCCTCTATATAGTCAGATATAGAAGGAAGAGTAGTTGTGGCCATGTTATACTGCGTGGTGTTCATAACCTGAATCTCTTTCGTCATGCTCTGCTTCATTTCTTCTACCTCAGTCTTATAATACTCCAACTTATCCGCGATCATCTTCACTTTCCCGTCAAAATCCTCCTCTGCTTTCCTAGCCTGGTCAGCAAGTAATGCACTGTTATTGACCATTCCATCTTTCATCTCCAATAACTTGCTGTAGTTCGCCCTAACACTATCTAACTCTTGTCGCAGAGTTTTAACCGCCTTCCCCAGTGTAGCGACTAGTGGGGTATCTGTGTTTCCTGTGGCTGGTGAAAGGAGGATTTTATCACTGTTTCCAGTTTGTTGTTGTGTCACTCCCGCCCCAGTTCCGTTAGAGTCAGATAATATCTGTCTCCAGCTGATATTGTATAAAGCCCCATGCTCCCTATCTCATATCCCCACTCTGTGTCTTTCAAGCCTGTAAGTTAAATGTTGGTTGTTATTTCTTGGAGTGGAAAGTGAAATCTACAGCGGCTGAAATCCTGAAAAATATGCTGACTGCTCAAAGTACATCCAGAAAAGCACAGAATTTGTAAAAACCAAATAACAGAGAATTACATATTTGTCTACATATAATGTTTATTGTTTATGAAGTGGCACTGAAAATTACACATTACATTCCATCTTACCCATGGTGTCATTACACAGGTCGAGGTGTTTAGTAACATTTATACACAGCTGGTAGTTAGCGTCAGGAGTGAGGATATTCATGTTGTCCCGGAATATCCAGTAAGTGGGACTGGTAGAGGGCTGGAGTGTCTCGTTCAGATAAAGTCCGTGGTACATGTTCCCTATACGGGAGAAGTAAGATCCGTCTGCTACTATCAGGAGGAGGTAGAGATAGAGGCAAATATTTGTCATTCCTGAAATACTGTAGGTATAATTGTTTAGGTAAATACTTTATTAGGTAAACGTTTACTTTTTGACCAGGTCTAGGTGGTTGGTAAAGGTCGTGTTTTGATTTGTTTAACAATGGCAAGATCGGAATTCGGACATGTAATGATGAAAATCTTGCAGTAATTTCCAACCATTAATATTCGATGTCACCCAATTTGATTTGGCGTATTGTGAAAAATCGGCCAAAATTTACTGCTCTATTATCGATTATAGGAAAAAAGACAATGTTAACAACACGTAAATCACTTCCAAACAAAAGCTAAAGAAAGCAAGCAATGTTGATAAATGAAACTCAAAACTCAAATCTGACGTGGTTCAAGTTTCATTACAAGGTTTGGTGTATGATATCACTGAAAATATTGCTTGCTGCTTCATACCATTTACACGATATAACCGATAAAACTTGCTTTCAATGCATCGTGTGGGTCTGATAGCTTTTTTATTAAAATTCAGACTTCAATCATTAATGTTAATGAGAAAAAGGTCAGAATCTCAATTAATCAATCGGTAAAACTTGATCAATTATCAATATTTAAGTTCGGTGAAGACATTACAGTGCTAATCTCTCTTAGAGTAGCGCTGATTTCTAACTTTAGAGAGTTTTTCCAGTTAAACGTGTTGGTGACCGTTAAGGTCAGAATATCAAATTTCGTGATAATCTCAGTTTAAGTAAGAATATACTGTACAACCGTGTCCTTTTCCGAGGTGTACTACTATTTGGTAATATGGTCGTGATATCATGAATGTACAGGGTGGCCCAGAAGTAACTACCCACACGCAACCCTTTAATGACTCACGTAATTCGTATCAGAATTGCTTAAAAATTTCAGATGAGAAAATTCTGAATAATGTAGTGGGGCAAAATGTCACGAAGTATTATGTATTGTTGTCTTTTGGTAATATCTCATTTATTCCAATTTGGGATGCCGTATTTGTAACCAACTATTCTTTAAAATGTTTTACTGTTTTATAAGTTCTCATCTTTGTATTACAGGAGATACAGATTCATTTCTAAACTGCCTCTGGGAGACATCTATAAGAAAGTGGAGATGTATGAGAAAACCTGAGAAGAACTTGAGACAAGCTATATTGTTGAAAAAGATTATTATCAAGATTTCAAATTTGAAGAAAAAGGCCTGCAAGAAAAGACGCCTTGAGGTACTGATTTGCAATATTTTTACCGCGCTTTTTCTAAATTTTGAAAGTTACGCTATAAGTAACCAGACACTCAGTGCCAGATTAGTTTTTGAATTACTCTAAATTATTGACCAAAAAACGAAACCAAAACCTCAAGAAGGCATTCACTCTTCTTCGGTATTTTACCAGAGAAGGGATACCTACTAATTACATATATAATAATTATAGTAGGAACTTGTACTGGTTTCATCGGCTGAAAGTGGTGTCTTTGTCCTGTGATCACATAATATCTACTATAAAGCTATAATACTACGGACTTGCTAGTACAGTCCAAATACACACAAGCATAATAAGGGGGAGTGTAATATAGAATCAGACGCCAACTTCCTCTGACAGCACTATAAATTACTAGTCTCTTCTATAAGTTCGAGTTGTCACCACACAAAATATCAAATCATAAAATCTTTGTAAATTTGACCCTTCACCCACGTCAAACATTCCTATATAATACGTAGATCTACAATCTTGAATATTGTCATTCACAAGAGCAGCTCACATCACAACCATCTGGTGGTTGTTATGATTAATATTACGTGAATTATTTCGCAACAATGGTGTAATATTTCACAGTTCAAGCCAGCATGGTTAATTGGTTATTAACAACTGTAAACTGTCCGCATAGACTGTCCTCTAACACCACATCATTGATCATTTGTTAACATTCTCATTAAATATTGAGTCTTGCGTTGAGAACTTGCTACTGACGCTCTTTCAATTGAAGGTGCTCATTAAAGCTAGGTTGTGACAACATTTTTATATGATTGAATAATGAAGTGAGAGTTTCCACAACTCCCGCCGAATTTCCACATTTGTTCCAAGTATATACCGCGGCCGCGAAGTACAAATAACATAATTTTATCGAAATGACTATAGTGTTTTAGCCACTTTGATATTTAATTCGGTGCGCGAACTGCGCGCATTGAAAATAATTTTAAGATGGAAATAATTTCAGGATTCAAGAAAAGAAGTTACAACGAAGAGGAGCAAATCAAAAGCATTGCCCGTCAAACCATGGGAGGAATAACTCTGAACTGATGGGAGTTTAAAAAGTGCAAAACTTTAAATAATGGAGAGGTTTTTGTTTATTCGAGCATGTTCCATAAATGTTGTATATAAATTCAGTTAAATATTATATCTATATATTATATCTATATATTATATCTATATATTATATCTATACATTGTATTTATTTTTAAATTGTGATAATATAGTATAAGTTGAATTTTAATAATTTTTCTATATTTCGTACGTTATTTTTAATGAAGCAGAAGGAAATTACGCTTATACTGTATACTTTATTGTTGAAGAAACATTTGTTAGCATTTTTACTTCAGTTTTTAAAATATTGGTACGGGATGGACTCATTTCTAATCAACTGATTAATACATTTTGTGGCCCACCGACCCATTAACGCTATAAAATAAGACGTTGAGTACTGTACTACAACTTGAATACCAATGTTCAAAAACCCTTGTTTCGTTTCCGGAGCGGGAAAATAGATGCTTAGAAGTGTAACTTAAAATATACAGACCAAAAGTTTGTGAACAAAGTTTTCGGGTTTACTCATTCAAATTAAAAAGTCCAATTTGAATTAATAAAAGTGAATATAGACAAATCCTCTTAGCAATGTTAGGGTTCTCTTCATTTTTGATCCAATATCTGAATGTCTCTCACAGTTTTTCACAGCAATCATTATAAAAAATTAAAAAAAATAGTCCTAATGATAAAGTCTGCCACTGTTGGCTGAAACTGGAGGCTGATGATTGTTGTAATTGGCGAGAAGCTGTTGAAGGAGAGGGTGAGAACCAAATAACATCTCTTGTTTGTTATCTCTCTTCCATTTAGTCCTTCTGAAAGTGTTGATCGAGCTTATAAGAGTGAACAGACGAAATCATATGTAAATCAATATGATACCGAAAGCAAATCTCATTGTTACCAACATGTTGGATAAAGAAAACAAATATTTGCTAACTCCTAAAACATTACGAGCTTATACAATTACAATAATCAATTTATAACTAGATTTAAAACCCGATTTATTAAACAAAATCTTTAGGTACCTGTTTTGAAACCAGGTTTTTATCTGACTGTCGGTTAAATCGAGATGTTTAGCGAGAACGGCTCTGTCGATCAGTGTGACGTACATCTTGTATCTGAACACTGTCTCCAGTGCTGTTAGCTGTCTCTCTGTGGGATGTTGGATTGAAAGATCACTCCTGATCCTAACAAGTAACAGAACTTTTTTTTAGGCAAGGTGGCCAATACAAATAATTCGAGAAGAGGCCACAGCTAACCGCAAAATTTTGATCAACGAAACCAAGTGCGGGATTTTCAGATATCAGGACATTTTAAAACTTTTTATTCGATTCAAAGGTCACAGTATACACTATACAACGTTGATTGACGATGTCAACCATAATTCCAGCTCGTAGAGCTCTTGATCATTAATGCTTCGATCTCGTATCGTGGATGTGTCTGTGAAAAACATTAATTTGAGCTCAGTGGTGAATCGCACTACAATCTAGTAGTAGTATCTACTTGTCACACGTTGTACTTGTAGACCTTACCAGTACCTGCCGTGCACGAATGCGCGGCTGTAATCTAAAAATAAATATTTCTGATACCAGAAATATGACTGTATAGTACTTTTTAATTAGTACATCCTAATTATGAATTAGTACTACTACTTCCTAATTACAAATTAGTACTTCCTAATTAGAAGACGGTGAACGCTATGGTGAATGGTGATGCACAATTCTTGTTGAAGGTTAATGACCGAACTATTAGTATTTGGACGGTGCAGAAATAGCGAACAGGAAATTTGAATGATTACGCGCTGATGTAATTTTTACACAATAGCTATGTGTAAAACTAAAACTGATTATGGGAGGGGGGGGGGGTAAAAATTGTCTAAAAAGTGATTACTATTACTATACTATTACGTGATAAGTGAACACTGAACGACACCTTATTTGAACAAAAAATAAAACCTGTAAAAGATGTACGCTGTTTTCGTTTACACTTCCCCGCTGTTTTACTAGCAGATTCCGCAGCAGCTTCATCACACGTGACACTGGCCTGTGTCATGTGGTTGTCTCCTAGAAGCTGTTTTATACTGAACTGATGGGACGACATACAAACGGGGAGTCACTCAGATTATACTATGAATTTATGGACTGATTTGATGGACCGATATATATAAATATAATATATATATAAGTGATAAGGCTAAGACTAGATGGCCGGATATTACATATTACGACAAATGGTAAATTAATTTAAGCTCTTAAGGTCCGGGAGAGCACTTAGCAAGCTTGATGGAATCTTGCCTCTTATCTCATTTTTACAGTTAATTATTTTAGGGAAAAGCCATATTGTTGGCGTGGCGTTATAATAATCGATAAGTATTTGATATCATTACGACTGAATGATTTTAGCATGGTACATTTACAATAATGGAATTTAATTTCTGTAAATTTAATGTACCGTCGTCGCAAATGGACTGACATAGGCGGATAACAAATAATAGACAAAATTAAATTTATAAAACCAATCATAAAACTTTTTGTATAACATTACTACAAAATTATAGATAGTGGATGGTTCTGCTAATGACCACGGATCAGATTATAAATTCGGAAAATGTTCTAGAGTTTACCCTCAGAGGGATGAACCCAGAAATTCACTCGATGAACTATCGATTGCAGGTATGAACCACAAAATTTGGATCATACTAAAAATACATTGAGACCAACAATAGAATTAGATGAAATTTTCATTACCGGTCAAGTAAAATTCATTCCAAAACATTCAAATTATTATTTATCGTCCTTTACTTTTCAACGTTAATAAAACATTCCTCGTACGCCGCTCAATTGACCATTGCAAGTAAGAACATATTTATGCGAATATTAAATTTACAGTTTCTGAGCCTTCAAATCTTTTCCAGTTTCCAACTCTGTAAATAACTGCTACACCCTTGTTGAGATCCACATTCCACACTTATAGGTATAGACAAACGCACAATCTTGACCACAGAAAAGCAAACTGCAGTGCGAAATAATTTGACACAAAAAGAGAAAATCTTTAACCATCGATCACACTCATAATTCCTCGGCAGTTGATTTACAAAAAAAGTATGTACAAAATGTCAAAAAAGAACGGAAATTATGCTCCAAGATTGAATTTTCTCGGTCGATAATAAAGCAATCGTTTCAATGGAAACCAATCGCAAAAAAGGGATTTTTTAATATCAGAAGCAGAATAAATTTGATTGATAAAGTTTTTCAATATTTGTTCATCATTTTTGAATACATATTACAGAGTTTCTGAGCGGTTTGATTAACTTTTGAAAACAGTTTTAATAATATATGACGGGAAATCAGAATATCTATTTGGAACAATATGAAGGGTTCCGGTAAGAAATTTTCCAACACCATTGTAATCTTTCAACATGTAAGTTAAACTAATAATATTTTAAAAACGTACAAAAATTAATGATATATAGTCTACACCTACCAACCTAGTCATAAAAGTTAATGATTCGTAAGACCCATTTAAATTATTTTAAGTGACACTTAGGTCCTCGGTGTCCATTATTTTCTGTCAAAACAGACACGCAACATCTAACAAAAAATTAAGAATCAAATATCAAAATTTCTCAGCTTACAAACGGCTTCAGTCAAGAGCGATTCATTCGAGAAATAATGAATGCTATTTCACACTCAGCTCCGCATAACATTCCATGCTCATGGTAAAACCTAAAATTCTTCAGGAGCTACGTTTTAAAATCAGTAGAAACGTCTTTTCAGACAGCGAAAATTCCAGTCAATGACGGCTTGTTTATCACTGGGAACAATTACAAATTCTGCCAAAAGATGAATCGGAGCCTAACGTATGAGAAAATATAAAATATTGGGGTGCAAGAGTTTAGTTTAAGTGTCGAGGAAGTCGACCCTTACAAGTCGGTCTACTATCAAGTTTCTGCCAACTAACACCAGAAGATCCCAGATCCCGGAAGGGGTATGAGAGATGTAAGACCCCCTCACCGCCGCCCTCCAGTCAGCGAGCCTCCCTCACTGCCATCCTCCGGTCAGCTTGTAGAACATTTCCTTGTCTAGCTCAGTGTCCGACTCCTTGCGCAGGGTCAGGAAGATGTAACCACCAATGTATTCGTGCACGATCTTGATTTCGGATGAGTTGCATTCAAATGCGTGGGAGTCTCCGTCAACGTTAAACGTTAACTTTCTGATCTGTAGAAATTGTGATTTAAGACCTAGATACAATTGGGAGATCGTTTCAAATCATGCATTTTAGCTTAAAATATGAATCTCAGTGTATTTGTGGTTTAACAGAAGCTGTAAGTTTGCAATCTAAATTTTAAAATCAACAACAATCTAAAAAACACCAACCTCCCAGTTAACATTCCAGCTCTGCAGAGAAGTCCAGTGCCAGGTCTTGAGAAGCTCATGTGGGGGCGCCAGGTCAAACTTGCTCATGTGGGTTCTAGATATTCCCAGTAGTTCCTCTTTTTTAGACTTATCGAACTTGACGATAAAGTAGCTGATTCCAAAGTCCATCAGTCTCTCCCACTTCAAGATGTAACTGTTGGAATAAATCGTTAGATAAGATGGCAGAGGAGTTACCGTCAGCAGAATAACAGCTGTTTTAAGGTAAATATAAGAGTTGGCAAGATCACAAAAGACTACTTAAATAAGGGAAATTTACTTGAGTCTAAGTTCGGTAGCGGTGTGATCTCGTCTGGGTAACATGTTGTGAGCATCAAGGATCAAATTAGCCAATTGTTCCGGTCGGTGTTTTCTTCCAACCCTCGCCGAGACAAAGTCTTCAGTTTTTATCTACGGGAAGTTGTCCTTTAGTTCACACAAGTTAATACTCATTTTTCAGAACATATCACTTGGATTGTAATAAATTATAATTGAGTTTTAAACGCTAAGGAACTTACCTCGTCAGAAGTGACAACAGCTCGCTTGTTCCTGTTTAGTTTCAGGGTCTGGGAATGCTCCTGCATGTTTGCCATCGTCTTTACGATGTCGATCTCACTGTCGTAGGTACTGTCGCTGATTGGCTTTCCCTTGCTAGCCAGACGGCACGCTGCAGTCCATTGGCAAAACTCTTCTTTCTGGCAATTATATTTTGTGAGTCACATTCATTACAAAATACACGCTGGATATGCAACGATAAAACTTTTATTTCCATGAGTAAGACTAGATTATTAGTTATTATCAGTAAACGACCGGGGCTAGGATTTGGCCGGGGCCGGGAATGTCCAAATTTTGCCGGGGCCGGGAATTGGCCGTTCTGGAATTTGGCCGGGGCCGGGGCCGTGAATTTAATAAATCCACGGCCAAGTTAGAACTTTTCAGGACTTAGGATCTGAACTTATTTTTACATGACAATATAATGTTCGAGTATCAATTGAACAGTTTAGAAGGTAATTAGATTTCATATATATTTTGGTAAAATAATTTTGTTCAGCTGAAACAGTAAATAAAAGTTGGCACTCTTGACATCATCCTTTCAAAATTGAAATCCATTTTAAGATTTATATGAAAGTTTTAGGCCGATCTCGATCAAAAATTCCCGGCCAAATTCCCGGCAAAAATTGAAAATCGGCCGGGGCCGGGAAGAAATAGCTCCCCCGGCGCCGGGATTTCACGGCGCCGGGAATCCCGGTCGATTACTGGTTATTATAACTATAGGTTAACACTCACATCTCCGAACAGAACGAGGTATTCTTTTCCGCCAGGAGGTTTGATGTGTAGGATGTATTTTCCTTTTCTGACATCCACTTCTGGAACAATCGAGCAATCTGAAAAAATTTCGTCAGAGCTCCGTGCAACGGTCAAAGAAATATTTTAATGTGAGAGAATGAGGTCGATAATATTGGTTAAACAGCGTTTTAAGAGTGTAATACCTTTAAGATCTTGGACGAAATCAGGGGGTCCAGAACCTGCCGCATCCTTAAAGAATGACATGGTTGTATCTGAGGGAAAGAGGTGATATTTCAGTTAAGTCGACTAAAATAGATCTGAAAGAACATTTCTCGTATTTGTTCTTGAATATGATGCGCGCGCGTAATGGCCGTACGTCACACTAAACAATGACGCACAATTTTCAGTACAACGAGATTTGTTTCGCGCGCTACAGTAAACTGCAAGTAGAACTATAACATTTTAGGCGCGGGAATTTAGCTAGCCGCCACTCCGTCGGAGACAGAACGGGAAATTAATTACGCATTGAACTTCTCTTATTGTTCTGAAAAATTGGTGCCAATAAAGTTATTAAGACTGGGTCATTATCATTGATTTAAATATTTGCTTCCTGCAAAGTAATTATCGGGGAATGTCAATTATCATAGAATATAGAAATACTCTTACCTCTGAATGTAAACTTGTGCATCTTTGGCTTGGCCAAGAAGAAGAAAATCTTGTTCGGCCTGAAAACGATACATGATTAAACCAGTCTAAGAAATCACACACTTAAAGAAAAAGTGTATTTTTCGAAAAATTCCTTTCGAAGAGTTTTCTATGAGGACCGATTAGAACACTAAAATTTCCGGTCACCGGCACTTACAGTATAGAATGGAATGTACATTGCTTAAGAAAGCCTTATCAGCTTAGAGAAAATTACGAAATAGACTGTTCAAGTGTTCACTGCTGTGCTAATTGTTCGGTTGGCTTCCCTTTTCTCGATTTCAAGTTAGAAGATACAAAAGTCAACTAGTTTTACTGTTAATTTCAGAGACTGGAGAGAAGAAACCAGTACAAATGTGATGTATTGGAGGTCACAATTACTACCACCAGTCATAATTAGGAATATTACATATTATTCTAAATTTAGCCCGAACACTAGGCACCAAATTGTGACTCCTCAGTCAGAAACATTACAAATTGTGTTAAAAAAGTGTTGTGACGTTGGTTCTAGTTGGCTAATATAGTAACTCAAGTGTAACTTGCAGGGAAACACACAAACTGTCGGACACAATGTGGTCATGTGTCAACATATCGTGCTTCCAGTCATGGTACCGGCTTTAAATTAAACCACGCCCAAAACTTCAGTCGCAACACAATCGTCGTAATATATTGCTGAGTGGAGGCATTATGATGTCACCAAATTGAATTAACAAAATGTCTGCTGTGCTTTTACTTACTTCTTGAATTTCAGGTTTGCTTGTAGTTCTCTGTTGTAGTTAGGGAGCACTGTGTTGTTCTGAAAAGAAAATATTATCATTATTTTGATATGTCAACTAGCGCGAAAAACATTTTTTCGGCGTAGGAAGCTAATGTTAACGGCCTTTAATAAATAAATTCTAACATTTATATTTAGAAGAGTACCTATTGTCACATTATGCTTTTAATTAAATTTATTCAGATGTATCAATAACAAGTGTTTAGAACCCCCACCCATTAAAATATGAGGTCTTATTAGATCACTATTGGTGTTCCCGCGCCTTTATACAGTAACGGCTTCACATATTAAATCATCCTCTGACAATGGTATCATGACGTAACATACTGATAAAAGTATTGACTAGTAATAAGATGTACCTGACAATACATATAATATATATAATATTACCGGCACGGCCTACACCCTGTTATAAGTCACACTGGCAATGTCAGCCGGATTGTATAAGTGAAATAAACTACTTTCTGCAGCCGTTCTAAAACTTTCTAATAGCTTTTTCCGTATTACGCATGGCAGGACAGGCTGCTGTTAACCAATCAGAGGATGGTGTCATGTCACGTGATTGGTATCGACCAATTGGAAGTGCTGTATTAACATAGTGGCGGTGGCAGCTCGACATTTTTAGCTGGCTGTAAAATTTTGAAAGTTTGAAACCAATGAAATGAGTCGTAATGAATTATTTCAATAATTAAATATTTTAGACACTGTGTCTGTAAAGTGCCTATCTAAGGCTTCGTCCACTGATAATACATTTATAAACGTGTTGTGTGTCTACAAAATAGTAACTCAGATGTTACACTCCATATCACAGAACACTTTGGACGGTTCCACACAAAATCCACGGTGTCCAGACGTAATCACACTTGATAAGTCTCCATTATTATAACACGTGACCTCACACGCGTGACCTCACACGCACTTCTAAGAGTCCCTACTTCACATTCACTGGTGTCCCAGTACACTGTGCAGTCTAGTGGTGGAGCAATACTGAGAGGTGTTAAATGTGTGATATACGCCCACTGTTACATCATTTTATAATGTCACACTGATTACTGTTCTCACTGATACAGATCAAACTGCTGTAACGTCACTTTTAGAAAACTAATATTACAGCTCAGAATATATCATGATATGTAATATCTGTGTTAAGTCCGAGCTGTCTTTGTTGAGGGGTGTTTAAATTTCACGCAGTAATTCATGTTTAATATCACCAGACACCAGGTTTGTTTGCAATGTGGGTGTTATATGATTTTAACAGCAAATTTATTACATTTATTGAATACACTAAATATAAAGACAGAAAAATACCTTTAATCCACTGATGTGACATTATTTGAATATGTAAAATTAGTAACGTTATATCATCAACACGAGGTTATTGAAAGAATTTTAGGATTTAATAATATCCGGTAAGGATTGTGGAGATGATTATTATATTGGGGAATGGAATTTGCACATTATGCACAGGTTTCGGGGTTTTCCCAAAAACTCCCATGTTTAAAGTGGTCTCGTATTTCGACTGTGGCTAATTAAAGATTGTCAGCCATGATTACTCTACACTCAGCGGGACCTCAACTTTAGAAACATTTTTCGATACATTCACGCATTCCAGTGTAGCTTATTCGTAATGTAAAATGTAAGGATTCAAAATTGATGATGTGTTCGATGATAGATGACGTATGTCCGAATATTTTTCGACTCATATCCAAGATTGACGAGCTTTTACAAAACCAAAAGATGGTAAAGTAAAGACTATGAACAACATACATATTATGATAACAAGGCGAGTTACACACAGAAATATAACCAACAAGCCTTACTCCTCACAATATCAAAACTCACCAGTTTCTCCAGATCAGGATCGTTAGCTCCGAGGGAGACCTCCAAATCAGCCAAAGCAGAGTCCAGGTCATCTTTACCGGGTGCCATGGCCGGGGCTAGTTTTGGGGGATTCCTCACTGCTTGCTCAACTGCAAACTGAGGGGGAACTGGGTTAATTTCCTGCCAAGTTTATATCCCAGCTTTTTGCGGCTGCTTGCATCGTTATCATGAAGTAATTCACAACCACAAAGAAAAAGTACCATGAAAAGGTAACAAAGTTAAAAGATAAAGCTAACCTGAAGAGCAGCGAACTCAAGACACTCTGACTCAGTAGGTACAACATCTTCAGATAACACTGATCTGATAGCTTGGTGGAACAGAGCGTTTATACGAGCTTCGTCTCTCTGGAGAGGAGTCGGGTGTTAATATCTTGATAATATCTTGTTAATATCTTGTTAATATCTTGATAATATCTTGTTAATATCACACAATCACTGAACACTATATTGGAAAACGAACATAGTTTTTAGAAGGAGCTTTGCCTTGTATAGTGTATACCCGACTCAATTTCTTTCATTAATAAGCATTCTAACAGAATGTCACCCGACCCACGTTGCCGCCTGGAACTATTAATGTAAGGAAATAACAGCTGTTGTTTTAATGAACAAGTTGTTAGAAACCTTAATTAATTGCTTTTTAGAGCCTCGCGAAGAACATTAAAAACATATGTGATTATTATGTTTCTGCTAATTATAACCATACCCAGAACCTTGTTTGATTAAGCGTAGTAAGAAGTGAAGAATTGGGTGTAGTTTTGCGGTATGGAGGTGACATTTAGGACAACCTTGAAGTACTAATTAGCGATAATTAGGGGGTAATTAGAGGGTTATTAGATGTATAGGAAGCTAGTTAGAAGTCAGCAGCTGCAGACTTCTACATTAACTACACACAGTCAGTAATTCATCTATACATCACTAAAAACTAGTACACTAACATAGATAGCAATCAGGATGTTTTCCTAGACAGAATGAAAAGGGCTCTATTTTTATTGCTTTAGGTTTATTACTGATCAAAGTTTCAAATTCAAATGTAGGATATATAATATATTGTATAGCCATAGGTCGTGCTGTTTCATTTATCTTTCTGTCTAAAGTAAAATGCCTTGAGAGAAGTGACTTGAGGGAGCTGTGCAGACAGTGCAATAGACATGTCTCCTTTATAAGTTATTATTCTATTATAGTTAGAAAAGAATAATATTTTACAAAGGAATATATAATTCGCCTACATACTTGCATAATTTATATGCCGCTACGAGCATTGAACCATTGCACAATGCAATGCTACACATACAATCGCGAACACGTTCAATACAGTTGACCAGCTCATATCAAGCGAGTCCCTACAATTTCCTAACTTTCACACTAACTATCACCGTTAGACTGTTGTTTATAAATGCCAAGGTTAACATGTCAACTACAGAACACCTGTTATAATCTGCTCCATTCTGCTGGCGTTACTAGTCTGGTCATTTAGTGACATTGCACATTAGCGACATTACACATTAGCGACATTACACATTAGGGACATTACACATTAGGGACATTACACATTAGGGACATTACACATTAGCGACATTACACATTAGCGACATTACACATTAGCGACATTACACATTAGGGACATTACACATTAGCGACATTACACATTAGGGACATTACACATTGACCCGTATATTATAGTAGAGGGCTGAACATTTTTTTGGGCCTCATGGAACCTAGTTTTTTTTTCTATATAGGCCCCAGATTATTCAACAAGCTGAATTATGTATTACTCTCTACAAGTGTGAGTACATTATATTACTACTCTTAACTCAGTCTCACCGAGTGAAAAGAACCAAATTACCCACCAACATACAGTCGCCAATCACACAATCACACAACAACTATCACACAATCATACTTACACAGTTACACGGAGGGGTGTCATAGTTAACACAATGAAAACTCTATAACAACCCCCAAGTGACTACAATGTAGTCACGTGATTACAATGTAGTCACGTGATCTGACTACATTGTAGTCACTACACGTATTATAATCGCTACTCTGATCAGTTACACAGGCTGGGAGATTTGTTCCTGAGCCTGATATGTAACGTGTAAACTTTAACAATAGTTTATTAATCAAGCTTTAATAACCTTTAATTAATTAGTCGCGTGTTTGAATTTTGTTGGATGATATTTCATAATGGTGACAAAAGCCCGCTCTATTTTGTAATGCTGGCATGAACAGTGAACATCACGTCTGAATTCTACATTTTACTTCTGACTTCTGTTATGTTGTGGAGTTTTATGGATGGTCTGTCCAGGACAGATTTACAAGAGGGTTCAGAGCTCCATTTGTATAACATTATTCAATATTGAAGGTCTTTGATTACCAAACAAGATGATATCAGTGACATTTTTAGGTCAAAACTCAACAGTGAATGATGTAGTAGTACTAACTAGTAGAACTATAGTATGACGCACATATTGTAGGCGTTATGTCACGTGACTAGGCGGTTTCAACACGTGACACGTATTAAATCACAAGTTAGCACTCCCGACATTTGTAGACATGGAGAATATTGTGGCTGACACTCTGACCATGATATAACTGACAAGTTTTGTGTGTGAAGGAGAATTTACAGGGTGGTAAAGTTTTAGAGACAGAGTTAGCCGTTAGGCATGGGATAAACATGGTGGTAAAGTGTAGAGTCTACACTTTACCACCCTAACCATGGGATAAATATGGTGGTAAAGTGTAGAATCTACACTTTACCACCCTACCCATGGGATAAACATGGTGGTAAAGTGTAGAATCTACACTTCACCACCCTACCCATGGGATAAACATGGTGGTAAAGTGTAGAGTCTACACTTAACCACCCTAACCATGGGATAAACATGGTGGTAAAGTGTGTAGTCTACACTTTACCACCCTACCCCGTAACTGTAGACGTTTCAGAGGAAGAGTTAGTGAGATGTGAGAGGTGGGTTTCAAATTGAGGGAACCCGAGATGGTATAGTGTTCTGAAAAACAACAGTTTACCCAGCGCTGGGAATCCACATCCCGTCAGGACAACAGCTGGTGTTGACTCTGAATGAACGAGGCAATCCTGCTAGCACGTGATATATGAGAGAGAGAACACGTGATATAGATGAATTTACCTGTTTGTTGAGATCCAGGAAAGCAAAGTATTTGAACCTCAGGAGCAACATGTCCCCTTCTTGAACGTCCTGAAATGTAAACAATCGTTAGTATGTTTGAAAAGTAAACAATCGTTAGTATGTCACATGTTTAGAGGATGTTACACAAATATAAAACCGGTTTTAGAAATTATTATAACAAGCATGTACCACAATTTAAATGAAGCGTGTACCACAAAGTTTGAATAAAGACAGAGTTTTGAGGAATAACATGCAAATCTTATGAGAAGTCTTAAACTTCACACGAAATGTCAACAAACTACTTAGCGGCTTGATAGAACGTTCAAATAACTATTCACGGGGATTTTATTTTAAGAAGCACCGCAAAGTGCTATTTCAAATGTCTACTGAGAATGTGTGATATAATGTAGCACTGAGAAATATTGCGCTACTTTGACAAAAACTAATTAATTGCTACGACTGAAATAAGGTGCAATGAATTCAACGCAAATTTGATCGCCAACAGGGAATATGTTTTATACACATTTACCAACTACTAATACTATAACTAAACAGTATTAGAGACTGGTCATGGTAGTGAGGTTGGATTCTAGCTTTTAATTTGATAAACTATTCTGTATCCAATAACCTTGGCACAGTGCTGTGTGTACTAACACACAGCACAGGACTCTGTGTATATATTTTCAGCCGCATTGTGTTCAGATAGTACTCACACTTAACACCCGCTTAACAGGTTTATTGAATTTGTAACGTGAACCAGGAGCGAACCAGGAACTCTCGTTACCACCTGACCAACCCTCACCTGACCCACCATCACCTGACCCCCCACTTTCTACTTCCACAGTACGGAGATACACAATACAAATGTTATAGAGTGGAACAAACAAATTCATGAATCAGATATTCCCGAACAATATTTGTACAGGACCCGCCCTGCTTAACTTTCCCAGCGCACATTTACAACATTATAAAGTTTATTTCCCAGCAAAATGTTCCGTTTTGTTCGAAGTTTACACGCCGGACCAGGACTTGAAGTTTCACAGTAAATATTTCCAAATCCACATGTTTACATGTTTAATACGCCGTGAGAGTGAGAGTTGTGTAAATTATAATAATTTCTCAAAGGTCATCGTGCGAGAGGAAAATAACGTGGTTACTTTTAGCATGTTATCCAAGTGGGTATATCTAGATTTACTAGAATTTGATTAATTAATTACCTTTTAATTACTTTTTAATTACTTTTAACAGCTACTTAAAGTAAAATGTTCCATGATTTTGATTGGAATCATAATTTAACCCTTGGAAGAGAATTTTAGAATAGCCCATAACACAGAACATTTTAAAGTTCCTTTTTAAAATGTATCGCCCGTGAACACTGCTCGATTCAATATAATAATCATAAATGATTGAATTTAGTTCTAGATTATACTGCACGTGTAGCCATAGACACATTTTAAATGTGTCACAAGACGCAGTACATGTATTACTATTGCACGTCACGGTGCATGTTTATTATATAGCTATACAGAGAGAAAACCTATAGCATTGATTTAATAAGCACGAAATACACATATTTATAGCTTCAACATTATTCACTAATCTAATACAACAGCCAGAGAAGCTCTCCCACAAATTACAGACAAGCTATTTAAAGAATTGTCCGGGATGTGTTTGCACCTGATAAATGTTATGTTTCCAACTTATTCAGAGCACCGACTTGCACGAATACCGACAGAGTTCGGACATTTTCAGTTGATGTAAATTTATTTATTTGTCACGTGGATTAACCACATCACATTGGTACAGTGCGAGGTGTTAAATTTACAGCGAATGAGCTTGACGCTAGTAATTCAGTTATCGTAGAATTATGCCGGGTTATTTCTGCACCGCCCACGATAAGTGCGTGAACTTGATGTACAAAACACTTTGGAAGCCAGAGAAGCTCTTTTTCATTTGAAATCCTAAAAATAGAGCTCTTAATTCTCTCCGATTACATATTCTAACATTATATGTGCGTGTTTAGCATGTAGCAATTTGGTAAAGTACTGCTAATAGTGTCGAGACACTGAGATTGTCTTTAATGCGACTAGAATATGTTTGAAAAGTGATACCTTAAGTAATTCAGATCTTCAGATCAACATTAATTGCATTATGTTAAGTGCAGATTAAGAATATATATGCGATTTATTCTCTGTCTACAAAATTATGCAAATATTTGCCTTTTTGACGTATCCATGAAGCCACCGTTCGATCATAACTTTATTGCATTGCTAAGAAATTCTTTAGGCGCTACCAACCTTTCTCCGGTAGAATTACCACAATTAAATGAAAAAATAACAGAACACTTATTAACATTGAAAGTGAAAGTGTAAATGAAAGTAAAGTAACATAATATCGTACCTGTTCCATGAGAGACTTGCTGCTGTCCAGCCATCCCGCGTTCATCATGGCTCGCTCATCCATGGTCTTACCCTCCTTGATGTCAATATGATCTATCTCATCAGGAGTAAGCTGGCACACGTTAGCTACTGATCCGTGAGGTGACAGCGTCTCTCCTGGGAGGGCAGCAATTAGGAGATTGGATAATCTAGTTATTAATTAATTATATATGTTATAACAATACACATTTGCATTATTAAAGAGTTTCAATTTGACATGGTTTTTGCGTTTAGTAGTACAATTTTGCTCTATATACTATGTACAATGAGACTGTTGATACTCCTGTGTGTTATTTAAAACGCCAAAATGATTACAGCCAACAGGTTCATAAAAGAGCAGATATATTCTGCTTGGAAACATGGGCCATAGTGTTGAGTATGTACTATGCAATTACACAAATCAATTACTGCTGATCAAAACTTAAGGTCAAAATTTGGGTATAATTTAGGCAAACTCCGGTTTCAACATTTCAAAGTAGAAACGTCAGACCATATTTCCCTCAAAATTATTTTCTTTTAACATTTTGAACAATGTTCAAATGATAAACTCCGACTCCTCACAATTATTGTAATAAAAATTACACGGGCAATTAAACCCGAGCCAATTTGTCAAAATATCCCCAGTGATTTTGGGAAGCCTGGGACTTACCATTTTCGTCCACGGCTGGGATTGCAAGATAACATTAACGTAATGAATGTACATACATAGGTGGCGAAATATTATATTTTCACACGATTCACCTAATACTACTTTTAAATAGTCTATTTCAACAGTATTCTGGTTCGACCCTATTCACTATTCAGTCCCCCTCAATTTAGTCAGCAATACTGTATCCCCGTTAAACTGAGGTTTAGATTTATATTTAATACACGTATATTGTCATTATAAGGGGATTCGAAATACCCTGGTGTACACTGTACATTATACATACAATATGTAAACTATGTGCTACAAGCAACTTTCGATAACACGTGCTACTAGTACTAAACTCACCATTTGAAGCACCAAAAGTATCCATCTTATCCTGGGAAGCACCAGCATCCTTCTTTGGTTTGGGCTTGTTTGCCTTGCGGACACGGAAAGTACGACGAGCTGTGACATTCCTCGCATCCTTCAAATCTTCTTCCTTAGCACACCTGTGAGAGGAAACTTGTGTAAATAAATAAATAAACACAGCATTTAACACACAGCTTTATAGCCGCACGTACTACATTGAGTACGTTACACGGTTTATTATACAGGGTGTATTATACAGGGTTCTGTGATAGCTGATAGGCACATTCCTATGGGTACACTCGGAGCATCTAGTCGTGAAATAGCAGGGAAGATGATATCCTGGCTACAATGTTGTATCCGTGCGTGTTATTCGTATCTGAGCACTTGTATTGTAAGTCTATATCTCTATATATCTCTATATAGCTCGGCATATGGTACAGAGATTAGAACAGTGCATTTGTAGTGTTCTGTAGAATATTCTTAGACAGGTAAGTGAAGCTGAGGCAGTGAAGCTGAGTTGAGTTAGTAGCAGGTTAATTAACAAACTCAATTATAATACTCACATACCAGGAGAGGTATACAGTACAGACAATATAACTACATCGTAAACCTAGTCTAATTCCAAATGTACTGAGTTCAACAAGATACTACTACAGGAGACCTGCTCTAATGAAATTACAGTCCTAAGATATCTCCATACTATTAAAATATCAGATACAAGGCATCTGTGTGTGTGTGTGTGTGTAATGTACAGATCTACGGAGTGTGTTCTGTTTGTTATATGTAACCAGCCCTCCGTGCGTTCTGTATCGCAACCTTACAACCCTCGCGATGACATATCACCAAAATAACTTTAAACATCACAACAAGTCACGTGTGCTGACCGTCTGGGCTGTGATTGGCTGGTTTTAGTCTCGTGGGCGGAATGGGGTGTTGTGATTGGTGAGTGTGGTAATAGTATTACATTGTCAAGAGGAGTGCTGGGCGAGTACACGACACATTGTATTACGAGGAGGGAACAAGCTTTTACCAGCACCTCTTCCTAATTTCCTGCGAATCTCACTAGCCGAGTAGTAATATTATGGGAGTGTGTGTTACAACAAGGAACTGTAATGCTCGGATTAGATATCATATTTTCATAATGTGTGAGCGCTGAGTGAATTACTCCGAATATAATTACAGGACAAGGGGACGAGAAGGGAAGGATTTTACTCTTTCTCAGTTTTATGTTAAATTAAATCAGCCGTGAAACAATTCTTAATAATGTATGAAATACTTCAAGAAATAGTGTCGCTCTGTCAAATTCTACACAATAAGGTGTAAGGTAAAAGCTTTGCGATTATTTTCACTACAAGTTGAGCAGACTGGTGTCAGTCATGACGTGTCACAAAGAATGTTACAATTTGTACACGTGAGGAGACGAGTTGTACTCAGATCATGTGATAACAAAACAATCTTAATATAATTGTTACATTGTAATAATAGTGTAACAAAACAGAAATAATAAGATCGTAACAGTGTAATGTAACAAAACTATCTAGATATTATAGATAACAAGTTTACCTAAGTAAAGAGAGCTCCTCAGGATGTCGTACCCTCAGATCCCGACAGATAGTACACACTACCGAGAACAAAGTGTTACTGAAATCTGCTTTCTCCAAATCTAGCTGAGATCTGTCCGGCAGCTGGATTGACAACTTTTTACTGGTTGTCGTGAAGATCACTTTGTTACCTGAAAATTCGTACAAATTAGTTGTATTATTGTATCTACTGTTAAATTTAAAATCATTAGCGGTTACTTTACCTGCGTTGTTGAGTAGTATCTCATATCGATGTGGAAACCTTGTCTAGTATAATACATTGGAAAACTTTTGAAGTTGTAAAATTGGAATTGCACAAATTGTTGCACTATAACTGGTGTACTGACGAGCTATGTTTTAGTTATTCTAGTATATATAACATAATATATTATGTTCAAGGTATATGGAGCCAACCCCAGAATTGTTCGTAAGTTACAAGTCAGAGGAATGAATCGTAAATTTACGTACCTGCATCAAGGCCATATGTGTTGAGTGTAGCACGAGGAGCTATCAACCAAGTCTTTTTATCCGTACACCACAGTGCATACTTTGACCAGTTTTTTAAACTACCTGAAAGAAAATTACAATAAAATTGAGAAGATAAACGAGGTAAATGACTGGTATTTTGAACATTTTCTTTGATCGAAATTAATTTTCATGATAAAAGTGAAAATGAAGCAATTACCTAATAACTCTACTAGTTTAAGAGTGACTTCTGATACAGTAGATTCACCAGACACAGTTAACGTCTTGGTGACGCTTGCGTCAGGGACATTTACTTTAAGCGCCCATTGGTGCATTCTGGGGTGAGGGATTGTGATTAAATGTGGTCATAAGCATATCATCAAATGGGGTAGGATTGTTTTTAGTAGAAAATGTAAGTTAAAAAATGGCTTCTGCTGTAAAGAATATTTTCGGAAAGTAAAGAAAAGTACCTGGATTCTAAAAATGCTGCTTCCTGCTTTAATCACACTTGCACTATCAAGGTCCACCACACAACACATATATGAAGTATTTATAACAGAAAGAATACCAATATCCCAGGTGTGCATCCTTAGGGCCTCGATTGTTTTACTTTTTTGCCTTGAGAGGCTTAAAATAGGTAACACCACATGCTGTGTCGTGTCCTTTTGTCCCATTTGTGCCTCAGTGGTTTTCCAATTTTGCATTGTTAAGATTAGGTGTCAGTATTTACACTATTGTTGAAAAAATATTGAATCGATTACAATGCTCACAATCAAACCAAATAGGAATGATTAACAGGGTAATCAACTCATAACGGATTGAAAATCACTGAGAGTTTCTGTTGTTTGAAATGGCAGGATTGGTCTAGGAATTGTTGCTAGGACATGTAGCATCTTACATCTTTTCAGATTGCTTCCAGATCTGGAGTTGATCGTGTTTTGAACCTTGTTGATTGCTGACTTCAATTTCATCAATAGGTTGACTGTAACTGTTCTTTATAGTCAGATTTGTTACCCTATGATCGTCATCCTCTCTGTCAAGCAGAGCCTCTTCTGATGGTTCATGTTGAGGACTGCGGAGTTGTACAGAAAGTGGTCGAGTAAGCTTTTGGAAGCGATAAGGTAGTTGATAGGAGCTGTTCAGAAGAGTTGTGTTCATCATCTTCAGAACATCTTGTTAACATTCCTACTTTATATACAACATCAAATTGATTCAATATATTACAGTATGAGTGTAGGTACTGACACCTATATTATTATATATATATATATTCATCACTGAACTGTGTAAAATTTGGGACATGACTGGGACCAATGTAATGGATATGGCTCCCTGTAATACCTTTTTAAAGAAGGCAATGTAGAATTACACTTCTAGCATATGGTTATAATTTTACACTTTATCATAGCCTAATGTTGGGGAAGCACACCTGAGTTTATCGTATTTCTTATGACCATGTCTACTTAATAGATACTCACTCTGGCTTGGTATAATGAAACATCTTTCACTCACAATCTCTCACACTTCACACTTCTCCTTAGATAAATAGTTTGTTAAATTAATGTGAAAATTATTAAAACAAAAAATATGATATTTGCAGACAACCGTGAACAATATTGCAGCTTATCAAGATTCATCTCAATATAACAGGAATATATATTTGTGATATAACTCGATTTAAACTTTAAAAGTTGTGGCAAATCTCATTGTATAAAGATAGCCCAAACGAGCGGTTTCTTAAAGAATGAGGTTATGAAGAAAATGCAGGAATCGACCTTGTGCCCATCGCGATCGTTTAAATTTTTGTATTACATATTTTTCAAACTTTACAGAGTACAGCAAATATAACGTACATAAAATAAACTCGAATAAATTGAAAGACAAAATAGTACTTTTAATTAATTTTTTTTATAAAAAAGACCATGTCCAAATTCGTTTGTTTTTTCATGAAGAAGGCTGTGAAATGTTCATTGTTCTGATAATGTAGAAATTAGGAAGAATATTAATGGTTATGATGTTTATGTCATTATTCTTGCAAATTTCCTGCATCTAACCTGTATGAATTAATCTACACTGCAAATAAGTGATAAGTTGGGTTGAATGGGTCAAGAAAGCCTAAAACATCTAAAAATTTGTTTTAAGAAGGTGGTGTGTTTATTTATCTTCCTCACCACACTTCAACATGAGTTGATGAGAAATTTCTACCTATGAAAGGATGAAGCCCGTCTTGATGTTGCAGCTGTCGGATTGTATGCACCCTTTGAAAGAACATTTTTTGACGTTAGGGTCACACATCCTAACTGTGACACAAACACATTTAAGACGCTAGATAGGATCTATAAAGAACATGAGAAAGAAAAGAAAGATTTGTATGAAGAGAGAGTACTTCAGTCAGAGAAAGGATCCTTTGCCCCTCTAGTCTTCACAACCTCTGGAGGTATGGGACCGCTATGCACTGTATTGTAGATCGTGTCTCTGAGATGATAGCTGACCATAAAAAAGAAGCCAAGAGCCAAGTCAAAAACCATATCAGAACACGATTCAGATTTGATCTGTTAAGAAGTACACTCATTGCACTAAGAGGAATCAGAGGAAGATCAACGGCCCAGCATCTTGAACTGCAAGACATTTCCTTCAACCTCATCCCCCAGAAGACGAGCTTTGAGGTCTCCTAGATTTGTTTATGTAATTTTTGATATTTTACTGTACTATTTTATGTTGTATATATAATTTTACGGACGAAATGATCCCAGGGGGGACTCCCAACCCACCGCTTCGGCAGGTAGTTGATGCACTGATCACAAGCAAGAGCCACTTTGGTCTACTTGCTGTGAGGTGTCTCAGCTACATGGGTTGGGGGTCCCCCCTTTTTTTAAACCTATGGAAGGTTTGAATATTAGCATAGTTCATCAATTGCACTCTAACAGATAACAGCCTGACTAGGATTATTAACTGACACCCTGAAAGGGGAATCAAATTAATACTAACCCTCTGAAAATTTGTTTCAGTTATCATGACTCGGGTGAATCTTGAAGGGGTTCCCTTCAGTACACATTCATACGGACCAAAAGTTCATTATACTTATTGGGCACATTGGAACTCATTTATCAATAGCATCAGATTTGGGCTCCCAATCATGTAAATTAAATTCGTAATTGCAACGTCACGAGTTTTCCTGATAAAAGATGACAGACCCATAAATCTGCAACTTGTGATAAGCAAATAAAAATTATATGCATTTATTACAAATAAGAGATTTTAAAAAATCTATTTTATAGATTTTACTCATATTTGTAACACTTCTATTGAATTTTCAAACGGTTTTTCATTCAAAATTTTTTATTAAAAATGTTTCGAACATTATACAAATAATTTCAGCCATGATAATTGTCTAGCTATATAAGGATAGACACCCTCGAAAAACGAATAAACCAATACAATAGATTAAATATTATAAAATGTTTTCATCCAAAATTATATTTTTATAGGGTGTCTAACTTTATATTGTATATATAGTTTTGAGTTTGAGAGAATACAATTGAGAGAATACGAAAACTATCGTGCGCGGTTCTGAATTTATTTGTTGTTTGTGTATATTCAATATTGTTTAAATATATTTACTATTGAGTAAACAAATTAAATAGAACTAATAACTACACATTATAGCCATGTGTATACGCGTACTGCTTCGGTGGTCGCGCGCTAACGAGAGGGCTCTGGTTAGAGCAAAAAACTAACAATGATACAATAATGAATTGACAGTTGACCCATTTTCATAATAACTTTTTGTTATAACTTTGCTGAATTCTGCTAGCTATGTATTATATAAGTTAATGGGCATCGATCAGCCTGTCATTCCGACATATCTTCAATCATGCATCAGTCTTTTATGAACACTGTTGACCATTGTTAATGATCCGGCCCGGCGCGCGCTACTTCGTAGCACTTGCCATCGGACCATTTCGAGAAGAAAGCGGCGCGCGCTACTTCGAAGAAATTTAGACGAGTAACATCTTACTGGGCCGCGCTCAGCCTGTCATTCCGCCAAATCTTTATTCTTTATGTTAATGAACATAATAGCCTGGGGTCCTCAGGTAAGTAACATCCGTCAATGAACACTGAAGAATGATATTTTTATGCAACAAAATATTATAATAATATAATAATATTGCTCTGCGAAGCAGAGCAACGATCGAAGATGGGTTGCAAGCAATAATGCTAGTTCGCAAAGCAAGAATGCTAGTTCGCGCGGCGCGTCGAAGTCCTCCAAACCGTCGACGAGTCCAACTCGGCGCGAGTTTTGTTTTACTTGGCGGCGCTCGGCCTGTCATTCCGCCGAATCTCTATTCGGCGGATATATATGTTTATGAGCATAATTGATAATAGCCTGGGGTCCCCAACTAAGTTTTGCTAGGTTAATGGTCTGGCCCGGCGCGCGCTACTTCGTAGCACGTGCCAACACTTCGAGAAGAAAGCGGCGCGCGCTAATTCGGAGAAATTTAGACGAGTAACATCCGTCACGTTTTTTAAATTTGTGCGACCAGAAATTTATACTAACTGAAACTGTCTTTGTTATTATTTCAGTGCGAACCAGCGCTCACACTCTCACAGAAAATCTTACATCACAGTTGACAGGATAATAATCTTAGTTATTAATTCTATCAACATTCTCTAATAAAGCGATGATTAAGAAATCCGCTTATTCTGATCTAAAATACCCAAATGATACAGAAATCATGCTTCGTCACGTTTCTCCCAAAAAATCACATACTTTAAATTAAAATAAACACATATTGGTTTCTAACTAAAGCGTCCTCTCATTTCTGAAGCCAGAAGCGTTAAGTTTAGTAGCAGGTCTGAAGCCATGGGTAGCCGATGCTGACGTCACAGTTGGTCGTGATGACGTCATCAAGGGAGTATGAGCTATGTTGTTGAACAAGGCGGCGGTCTCTTCTTTTATCACTTGAACGTTGAGAAGTGTAACGTGTTGAGACAGCCTGTGTGTTACCTGTAATATAGTACAACGTCAGTGTAGTATTCTCAGTATGTTCCAACTTCCACTAAGGATGTCAATTATCATGTCGAAAAAGTGGATAAAACAATTATACTTCGAAGTTTTCTCCGGAATTTTTTTGAAAGGTCACACGAATGAGCTTAAAATTATGTCTATTACCACCGCAACATTCCATTAAATATCTTACCTCAGCTAGAACAGTCTGCTATAGATATCTTACCTCAGCTAGAACAGTCTGCTCCATTAAATATCGTACCTCAGCTAGAACAGTCTGCTCCATTAAATATCTTACCTCAGCTAGAACAGTCTGCTCCATTAATTTTTACCCTGCTAGATGCGTGATAAGTCTGTTCATTTGCGTGATATTGTCCCTGTGTGCATGATTAAAGCCTGTTCATTTGCGTGATATTGTCCCGTGTGCGCTGATAAAGTTTCTGTTCATTTGCGTGATATCTGTCCGTGTGCATGATAATTCTGTTCATTTGCGGGAATTGGTCCCTGTGTGCGTAATCAACTCTGTTTATTTGCGTGATATTGACCCCGTGTGCGTGATAAAGTTGTTCATTTGCGTGATATTGTCCCAAGTGTGGTGATAAAGTCTGTTCATTTGCGTGATTATTTCCCTGTGTGCGTGATAAAGTCTGTTCATTTGCGTGAATTATTTGTCCCTGTGTGCATGATAAAGTTGTTCCATTTGCGTGATATTGTCCCTGTGTGCGTGATAAAGTCTTGTTCCATTTGCGTGATATTGTCCCTGTGTGCTTGATAGTCTGTTCATTTTTGCGTGATATTGTCCCTGTGTGCGTGATTGAGTTCCGTTTTTTGCGTGATATTGTCCCTGTGTGCGTGATAAGTCTGTTTATTTCGTGATATTGGTCCTTGTGTTCCGTTTGAGCGTGTTGCTGGTGATGTAATTGATAATATTAACCCTAATTAATTGTTAATTATTATTAATCTTAAAGATAAATTCTCAGCGAGTTCAATTGATTCTATTTTATTTCTGTTCGCAGTTGTGTGTGTTCTGCCTGGGGACAGTGATACACTGCATCGCGTTCTCACTCTCCTGTAAGTGAATCATTTTGTCGTATTGCTAGAGTCACTACTGATGAACAGCTTGGGATTCGCTGAGAGCTGTCCCAGATGCGGTTGATGGAGTATATCATGTTATCATAAGAA